AGCGGCATTTATTAAACAGCCGCAGGTGCGTAGGCTATGTGCGGATCTCACACGTTCATAAATGCCACGTCGGATCTTGCGTATCTGGAATCTAGACCGAAAATATACACCTTTTTCTGCGCAACTTTCATAAATGAGGCCCACTGTTCCCACTGGTGGCAGCATCATGCTGTTGGGCTGCCTTTCATTAACAGGGAGAGGGAAGAGGTGGATGGAACAAAATACAGGGCGATCTAGGAAGAAAATCTGTTGGAGTTGACAAAACACTTGAAGTTGGAATGGATGTTTACCTTCCATTGGAACAATTTCCAAACCTTTGTTGTGGAATCTTAAAAAAAGAAAAATAGTGATAGTGATAGTATGGCCTAATCAAAAAAGTGGAAACTATGGCATCGGGGGGAGTAACGGAACGGTTGGAGAGCTAGTATTGTATAGACCAACACAAATCAACATGTAAGGACGTAAAAGGCTGGTGACAACTTATGGCCACTGTAAAAACGAAAAAGTTAGTTTGGGATTCAAACCCAGGACCTTCTTGCCAAGAACCGAGAGTGCTATCCACTCGTGCAGCCACCGTGCCACACACACTGTAGTGTGGGAAAACTAATGTTTCTTAAGGAAACTCGTTCCCTCAATAAAGATTAGTTTTATAAATATCATAAACATAACAATATAAGTTCATTAAACTGTGTTTTTCTTTCTAAAACTGAAGGTTGCCAGTACAGGAGGCGCATGCCAGACTATTGTGTATGTTTTTAGTGGTAGGGGAAACCGGAGCACCCGGAGGAAACCTACGCAGACACGGGGAGAACATGCAAACTCCACTCAGAAAGGCCCTGGTCCGACCGGGATTCAAACCCAGGACCTTCTTGCTGAGAGGCGAGAGTGCTATCCACCCAGCCACCGTGCTGCCCCATAAAATGTTTACTTTAACTACAACTTCAAAGTAAAATGGAAATGTATACTTAATTTATCAAATAACTTTTCATCAGTAACTTCTGAAAGTGAGTTCAAGTGGCTCACAACAGACAGTTCAAGTTCCAACTTGCAATTTTATTGTCAGTGAATGCAAAAATCTTAGTAAGGTGAACAATTTTGAGTTGTCGTTTTTACAGTGTAGGAATGGAAAAGGAACCGGTAAAAAGCTTTGTCTGTATCAATAAATTGATACAAAAAAGGCTATCAGGGTTGTATTTACTGTCCAATATAGCCATGCTTCAAATCCACTGCAGGACTTGATTAACTTTAAAATTGCACTGATATTCAGGGAATCTGAAAAATCTCTGCCTTCTAATGTACACAATATATCTCATGATAGAGATGCTCGCCATAATTACAAGAGGAAGCAAAACATGTATGTGCCTAAATTTAGACCTACTTCACAATCAATGCGTCTCTCAGTTTGAGGACTTAGAAGTATTGGGAAAGAGCATGGTTCATTATGCCTTTTGACTCATTAGGGCAATTTCATGATTGCTTGACATCTTGAGATTTAAATGGGACTTCATAAAACATTTAAAAAATAAATAAAAAAGAATTACATGGAGGCTTTGATGTCCTCAGCAAGGAGCCTGAGATGGGAGATAGGTGCAGGGTCAGGAAGAGTTTGGGCCTGTGTCTATGTGTGGCTTTATATTGTGTTGTGTGATGTAGAGGGGTTGGAACTAAAAAAGCATCCGCTAACTGTGTATTGCAGGATACTTTTTGCATCTAGTTTATTGTTTTGTCTTTATTATGAAAAGGAAATAAAACTACTACCACAGTCAATATGATATGTACAATCTTCATCTTGACTTTTTATTTACAAAATAAAATTGGAATGACGTATCATTATATATATTATATTGCCTAATACTCTATAGTATTTAGTTGTATTACTGATTCTAACACTAATTCTAATAGTATTTCATAAAGAAATTGTTTGTTTGTTGTCGGGAGCGACAGTGGCTCAGTTGGTAGAGCTTTGGTCTTTGGGCCTAAAGGTTGTGGGTTGGATCCCCCCTATTCCAACTGCTCCCACTGCTGTCGTTGTCTCCTTGGGCAAGACACTTGACCCTACGTTGCCTGAAGCCCGCTGAAAGAACAAGACAATGACACTGCTGACGGAGCAGGAGCCTTCTTCCTGTGGACCACCACCTGCCGGAGGATCAGTGGGGGACTGGTGTTATGACATTGGGAGGCAGCCGCCAAAAAATGGACTTATGAAATGGTAGACAATGAATGAATGTTGGTGATCGTAACCATGCCCACGTGTGTAAAAGTTCAAGTTGTATCATCACTTTTGTATTTAATTTGAAGGACCAAGGTTTTCATTTTTATCAGGTGCAATGCAAGGCTCAGCTGTGATTCTAAACAGCATTTTAATCACATAAGATAAGTAGGGACACACAAACAATCAGTGAAACCAAGATCCAGTCCAAATCATTAAGGTCACGGTTTTCAGTTAAATAAACTATGTTATTTTGTTTTTTGAATCAAGGACATTGCTCTACTGTGTGATTACATGTAAATGAAGAGGAGACCAATTGAAATACTAAATACAGTATATTGGTGACACTTAGTGTTGCTACTCAAGCTCTGTATCAAAATGAGAAGAGGAAGGGTAAAACAAACAACAAAAGCAGTTATCCATGTTTGCAGAATCTACACACACACACATATATATATATGTATATACACTTCACTTTGGAAAGACCCAAGAGGAAAATGCAGTTAGAAGTTTATTGATTGAGTATGTTTGGCGCCCTAGGCCCGGGAGAGATGCTGATGAGTGCGGCGCTTGCTCGCGCGCATAATCCCCCCCGGGGCCTAAGCACTGGTGGCGGTAGAGGCAGCAGGCGAGCACGCTTCGAAGAGAGAAGGAGGAGGTGGGGCGGCGGAGGCTTTGGCCCAGTCCCAATACCCACACTGCACCCTACACACTTCTGCGAAGTGTGCATTTGTTCGAAGTGCACACCAGGGTTTGAGTGCGCAGGTTACAAGCGTGCAAAAAAGGCGGAATTGGGACAGTGCACACTGAGTGCAGGTTACGTCATCGACTCGTCAAGAGATGGTCATATTCAGACCTAAACTTTATAAACATTAAAGGTAATTTTGTCTGACCCTTTGGGAAACAAAATGAATTGGTTCACACACGTTAAAATACATGTATATTAGTTGTTTTTAATTAGAGATAGCTGTATAATTTTAAGTTAATTTTTATGTGGGTAACTATCTGGTCAGTTTTTATACATTCTAAGATTATTGTAATTTAATATACAATAATTGAATGTTATATAAACGCTTGCTTTAAAATTTATTAAATTGTTAAAACACAATGTCCGTAATTCTTCATCAGACGTTTATGTTTCTTTCCAAGTAACATAGCAAAACTTATTTACACACATACTGCATATATATTTCAAAATTTGCATTTTCCCGACGTTTTGGTGTGTACCGCAAAGAATTATGGGCAATATCCTTCGCCAGAGTGCGCATAGATGCAGGCTACGGCGAAGTGTGGATCAGGGGCGAAAAGGGGGCGGGGCCAAAGACCTCCATGGAGAATTGGGACACCCTACGCACTCGCACACTTTATCGGGAACGCGCAAATGAGGGGCGCGAGGGTGGAAGTGCGAGTATTGGGACGGGGCCCGACAATGGAGTTGACTTCCAACTGGTGAACCCTGAAATTAATATACTCGTATCTATTTTTTGAGGTAAAACATTTTTAACACAGTATGTTTTCATTCGGAAACTGAAGCACATATAATGTTATAAAACAAATGTTCATTCGACTGAAGCACATGATAATGTTTTATAATAAAACCAGTATTTTCGATTCTGACTGAAGCTCATGATAAGGTTAAGTTATTGAGAAATGCACTAAAGCCACTGAGAAAAACTGTAACTATCAGAATTCCTCCCCCTCCCCCTAAGATGAGCAAAGTGAATGCTCTGCCTGTGATAACGCCCTTATTGTTAGCATAACCAAGTTGGCCGTTCACAGTGATTTCGTTTGTAGCCGTAAAGATCCTTGGGCATGTGGACACGTGGAGGGATGAAAGGTATAAGTGCCAAATGACACCTCCATGCGAGTGCTAGTGTAAAGATACTTTCAATATCTTTTCAAATCGGTTTTTCCTTTTCTCCATAGCATGTCTGTAACAAAGATCTCATAATCTGAAGTCGGCGTAAGTTAACATGGTTTTAGTGAAACATATTCTGAGAAAAACAGGTTTTAAAGATCGACATACCAGAACTAATTCATCACTACACATATAACATTAAATTTGAATTAACTCTTTATGGCACACTTGTTTATTGTCACTACTTGTAGTAAGATTAAAAAGGATGTTACTTTCACCAATTAAACACACAACCACTCATGAATTAGTCGAATATCAAGAATGTATATATTCTTTCAATATTCAATGGATGAAAATTTACCACCTCTTCTTTTTTCTTATCTCTTTATAAATTACTGAAAATTATGACAGTAATCCTTTTTGATACAGTCTGTTAAAAAAAATCCGCTTAATCCGTCGAGCAGGGCAAATAAAAACAGTAAAAGAAACTTAGTTTAAAAATAAATCATAAAAAACGTGCAGCTCAAAAAAGGCTCCAAACAAATGCGTCCGCCATCTTGCGCATGCGTCCAAAGTTAAATAGTGACAGACTGATATGAAGGCATGGTCCATTGAACAAATCTATTTTATCTTTTGAATATGGGAAAATCCTCCTGAAGCTGAAATGTATGTCTTATAACTTAAGATTTATAGTTGCTATATAATTTTATCTATATTTTCATTTGAAACTATTGAGATAAAAATGTGCAGGCGGAAGCGGTTACCAGGCAGATTTTTCTACTTTTTTTCCTTTTTCTTTTTTCTTAAAGAACACATGTAAAAACTTACAGAAACACAAAGACACACATCAATCCAGGACGAAGACCACCTTTTTACTTTGTATGATTTTGCAGGTCATCAGTTGTCAGCTCTCTTGTGCCAAGCATCGTCGCCATGGACTCCAACAACACTCGGGACCGCCCTCTTTTCAGCAGCTTGTGAGTTCAAATTATACCACTTTGGTGTTGCTCTATTTCTCCATTTTCTCTTACAAAATGTCACCTTTCTGCTGTAGTTTTCCCACCAAAGAGGAGTCCAGCTATTTCATCCGCGTTTATACTGAACCCCTGCTGGTGAACCTGCCCACTCCCGACTTCAGCATGCCCTACAACGTCATCTGCCTCACCTGCACTGTGGTGGCGGTGGGCTACGGCTCCCTCTACAACCTCCTCACGCGCAACTTCCAGATCGAAGAGCCGAGCCCGGGACTGGCCAAGAGGATTGCCAACGTCATCCGGAAGATGAGGGGCGTCCCGCCACTATGAGGCTGGATGCGGTCTCTTCATACGGTGCAACACTGGCCCCACGTTCAGGGATGGACTCAAAAGTTCTGAAGGAGTTGAACATTGTGCTGCAAATGAGAGCTTTTGTGGTCGCTGCCTGGAGAACCGGCATCAGTCCGTTTTACAGGAACTGGCATTGTGCTTACCCAAGGGGTTATGGGAAATTTCTGGGGGTAGACCACCTTCAAAGCTGGGGTATCTAACTCTTCTTTCTCATAAACAGTATATTTTGTTTTTTCCTTGTAATATTGTTTGTATCTGTTGCATACTCGTAAGAAAGAGCCTGTGAGTCACTATTTTATACTTTGGGCTGAGAGCTGATTGGCTGAGGGAGGGTGGTCCTCTCTGTTTAGTGTCTGTGTTTGAAAAATCTGATTAAAAAACAGAGGCCAAAATATATGCAAACTGAAAACTTTCTTACATAGGAACTAGGATTTTATTACTTTCATTTTTTTAAGTCCGTTACCTCAGCTTTAATGGTTGGCTGCATGAATGACTGGTAATGTCTGTTTGATTGTGTTTTTTTTCTCAGCTCAGGAATGGCTGATTTGTTTTGTCATAGCCAACTTGGGGAAGAAATTATAGATATTTGCACTATTTTATAACTTTTATTATAAAACTATATAGTGCAAATGGAAGGCACTGGCACATATTGGTTACTGTTGAACCTTTTAAATGGTTTTATTTTCTATAGTGATGATTTACAGAAGAGAATGTCCCACTCTTCCAGAGTTTTGATGGCTAATCACTTTAAATACAAGGATGCAAGGATACAAGGGAGAACCTAAAAGTGTGTATTGGGCAGCAGTTGCTTACTTCAGTTAGCAAGACTTACGTCCTATGATTTGAAGGCGTATGGTAAAATCCTGCTACTAACTTAAATCTTATCTATACAGTGGTCATATCCCCTGACCTGCAGCTGCTGTGTGATCCCAGCTCCCACAGAGGAATGATGTTGTGTCCTTGAGCAAACCACTGAATTACTCCCAGTCCACTGCTGTGTGAGATGGTCATTGATGTAAAGCTGAGAAGTTACTATTCATCATTACATATTTCTCTTTTACATTTTACATCCATCACCCCCAAATGATAAGGATGTTTTTTTCTCTTTATCATGCTAAAAGCATAACTCTTTAATGCATTGTTTTTTTGCATTTACGTTAGTTTCAGTCAATGATGTGCAAAAGACATACCATTCCGATCTGAAAGGTGTGAAGCTAAATTAGATGTGTGTTTATTATTATATCTAATTTATTCATGAAAACTGCCAAACTGGCCTTCTGTCTGTTTTGCCCTTTATTTTACTTGAATGTGTGCTTGAATTTGCTGGACCCTGCTTTATATGGGAGTGCATGTTGGTGTTTCAGAAAACCACTGTGAATGTTTGAAAGACTGGTGTTAATGAATACATAATAAATCGTTGAGCTTTCTCAGCTGATGACTTGTTAATGAGGACAGATTTGGTGCCGTTTTAGTTCTATATGAGCGCTCACGTTCCAGTAAACAGACCAGAGGACACACTGCTCTGTTTTGGTTCAGTGAGGAGTGAAAACATTGATCACAGAAAGTGTTCTTGTCAAGAAAAACATGGACAATGCAAATGGTATTCACTATTATTGTTTTTTGAGCTGCCTGTTTTAAAAAAAAAACATTTCAATATTGATGTTTATACTGAGCCCATGCTGGTGAACCTGCCCACTCCAAATCGCAGCATGCACTGCGGCGGCGGTGGGCTACGGCTCAAAACCCCTCAAATGCTTGTTAGAGAATGCTGTGCTTTCTTGTAAGAGCACACTGTAGCATATAGCAACACTTATATTTCCAATTTGTCATCAATATTTCTGTTATATGAAAATGATAAAAATTATCATAAAATTATTATTATAACAATAATAATGATACATTTATTAAAAAGTGACTTTCAATACACTCAACATCTTTGTGTCTATGTAGGTTAACTCCAGGGGCTCCTATTTCCCCTTCCACTAAAAACACAGACAATATTTAAAATGCTTCATCTCGGTCCAGACCAATCTGAGCATCAACAGCTGCAGACTGGGTGCTGTGGGACCACTCTGCTCCCAACGAAGGCCTCTGTGGGGTTAGCAGGGCTGGACCTCGCTGCACGCGTGGCCACAGGACGTCCTGCAGCACTTCTGCTCCTCGGGACACTGACCATCGTGGTGACAGAACTCCGCACACATCTGAGAAGGCTGAGGCAGGGGGCATCGGCCACGCTTCACTGGACACAAAAACACAGAATGTAGTGTTTCTCAAACTGTGGTACAAGGCCTTTGTACTGGACCGACGGTACAAATCCATTGATTCATTTATGTTTTATTTCTAAGTGACATAATAACTGAGAATACATTGTAGACATAATTGTTGCTAACCCTTGTAGGGCTCCATGCACTCGTGTCCGCAGCCGTTGTAGCAGCACTTCATGTGGCCCTCACAGTCAGTGTCTGAGGAGCAGTACTCCGCACACATGCCCACGCCCCAGCTCCTCCGGGGACACGCCCCTGGCTTCACTGCACACATCAAAACACATTTTGTAAAGCAGCACATTGAGTCATTTGGTTTATTTGGCAGTGGCAGTGTACATTTCTGTAAATCTACCAAAATTAGCCAAAAGAAAGAATATTAGTTTTGCAGCCCATATTCTAGACAGATTTTTAAGTTTTCCCCCTAAAAGCACAAGTAAATGTCCTAATCATCCATCTAACTGTTTATTGCTCTCATAACTATTTAGCTCTATCACTACTTTTCATGATAATCTGTTTTTCGCATCTTTCAATCAACTTTTTACTACAGAAAAGTGAAAAGAGAGGACCACACATCAGCTCACAGCCCTAAGTGTCAAATAGTGACTCAAAGGGTGTGCAAAAGATAACACGTTTTTATCAGGGTAAAGACCGCATGTTGAGGTCTGATTTCTTAACAAAATGTTTTTAATATCTTCACTTACCTATTCTGTCTTTTGGGTTTGCGGCCTGTCCAGAGTCCATGTTCACAAATATAAAAAGTGCTAAAGTCAGAGCACAGATAACAGAGCAGTGCTTGTCCATGTTGCCTGCAGCCTGGAATGCACTGAGACCCCCGGTAAACACTTCTATATCCACAATAAGTGAAGCCCATGAGGACTGGCCCTGGACTGGCCCTGGGTCCTACTGCCCGACAGCTCTGCACACAAATGTTAGAAACAACCAACCATTTCGTCATCACTGGCTGCTGTTGACAAAATCTTCTATTGATTATTTCAGTAAGTGACTGTGAGGCAGTTGTAGGACGGGTCGTGCCTACACACGCATCTATTTGCGGGGCTCCGTCACAGACAGATTCATTCTCAAGAGGTTTTGCAGGTCCTTCCTCCCTGCTGCTGTCAGACTGCACAACGAGAACTGCTGAGTCTATACACTTGCCACTTGATAATGACGCACTAGTCACTTAACCTGCTGCTGGCATTACTATTGTTTTTTCTGGTCATATTGTCTGCTGCTAAAGTGCAACATACACATCTGTAAACACCTCTGAACCAAGTGCAATTATAGCTCCAGAGTTTTATTTTATTCTATTTCAATATCTTCATTCATTCATTTTCTTACCCTTTAATATTCCATTATCTAATACTTATTGTTTAATTCTTCTAATTATATTATCTATTGTGTGCAATGTGAGGGCTCTAATTTGCTTATTTTATTCTGCTGTGATGTGTGCAACGATGACACTGACATTTTCCCACTGTGGCACGAATGAAGAATAATCTTATCTAATCTTATCTTCTCATTTGTCCGACAGAGAAGTGAGTCACTCAGCCACTTAGCTCACTGGGCTTTTTACTTACAAGTATGAAAAAGTTTTCAAATAACATGAAGACAGCATGTCGTGTTCTGATTTTCTCACACGTTACATAAACTATTTAATCATCTCTAATAACTGCATGTCAGCAAAGGCACATAAACACGCTCACGCATGCAGTATATTCTTTTGAGTTTAGAAATAACAAAACAAGATCACCATGTGTGAGTGTTTCCTCTTTATATAGTATGTCCATCACATAATCAGAGCCTAATGAAACATAATCAATGAAGAGCCAGAACTTTTGACAACCAGACCAGTCCAATTACAAATGTTTCATAGCTTTATTTATATCTATATATTCTGGTCATTAGTAAGGCACGAACACGGGAAAACACTTCAGCCCACAGCCTGTGTCGCAGCACTGGTGGCCGGGGGGACAGGGTCTGACGTGACTGCACTCATTTGGACTCCAGCAGCCTGGTTGAGGATTAGGTTTTGGGCAGTTTCCTTGTTGGATTTCTGTTGGATGACAAAAAACAGAAAAAATACCAGGAAAATACTAAAGTACAATGAAAATGAACTGATTTGATCATATTATAGTTTAGTTGTGTGGATGTATGTTTAGAAGTGTCACATTTATCGAATATATATATCTGTATAATTGTATGTATTGTATTAATAACCTCCCCCCCTGGACTGCCACCTTAACGTGGTGGGGGAGTTTGAGTACTCGGATGATCCTGATGCTGTCAACCAATCACCACCTGGTCGTGAGTTGGATCCGCTGGCAGGGGAGGCAGCCGGTCTGGCAGGCCCAAGCGTGTAGTGAGGGTCTGCTGGGAACGTCTCGCTGGGCCCCCTGTCAGACGGACTTTCAACTCACACCTCCGGGAGAGCTTCTCCCAGGTCCCGGGGGAGGAGGGGGACATCGAGTCTGAGTGGACCATGTTCTCCACCTCTATTGCCGATGCGGCGGCTCGTAGCTGTGGTCGCAATATCTCTGGTGCTGGTCCCGGAGGCAACCCACGAGAGATTCTGGCAAATATATGGTCCATGCCTACTGGCTAAGGACACTCACATCACTCCATGAGCGCCTAGCAGCACAAATGAACCAGCTGCTGAGAGATGGGACTCACCCAGAATGGCTAACCGAAGGGCGAACGGTCCTGATCATGAAGGACCCTGTCAAGGGTGCAGTCCCCTCCAACTACCGGCCAATAACCTGTCTCTCCACAACATGGAAGCTCATGTCAGGCATCATTGCGGCTAAGATAAGTGGGCATATGGAACAATTCATGAGCACAGCACAGAAGGGCACATTGGTAGGGACACCAGAGGAGCCAAACACCAGCTCCTGGTTGAAAGAACAGTCGCCCAAGACTGCCGGTCACGACACACCAACCTGTGCACAGCCTGGATTGATTACCAGAAAGCCTACAACTCAGTGCCACACACATGGATCATGGAATGCTTGAAGTTGTATATAATATTTGCTTCGAGTACACATATATTTGCTTTGAGCATATAATATATGCTTCGAGCACACATATATAGCTTTGAGCACATATATTTGCTTTGAGCATATAATATTTGCTTTCGAGCACACATGCTTCGAGTACACATATATATGCTTCGAGCACACATATATATGCTTTGAGCACACATATATATGCTTCCAGCACACATATATTTGCTTTGAGCACACATATATATGCTTCGAGTACACATATATATGCTTTGAGTACACATATATTTGCTTTGAGCATATAATATATGCTTCGAGCACACATATATATGCTTTGAGCACACATATATATGCTTCGAGTACACATATATATATGCTTTGAGCACACATATATATGCTTTGAGTACACATATATATGCTTTGAGCATATAATATATGCTTCGAGTACACATATAGTTGCTTTGAGCATATAATATATGCTTCGAGTACACATATATTTGCTTTGAGCATATAATATTTGCTTCGAGTACACATATATTTGCTTTGAGCATATAATATTTGCTTCGAGTACACATATATGCTTTGAGTACACATATATATGCTTTGAGCATATAATATATGCTTTGAGCACACATATATTTGCTTTGAGCATATAATATTTGCTTCGAGTACACATATATATGCTTTGAGTACACATATATATGCTTTGAGCATATAATATTTGCTTTGAGCGCTAAGCTTTGAGCGGTCTACGTATGGTCCGGAGCGACCCGGAGCGGAGTTGCCGGTGACAAATGCTGAGAGGGCTGCTACAGAGCCAGTGCGCGCTGTGCCGATGCTTTGAGTGGTATAAAATACTGCTAAACTGTGCAAGATCCCGAGGTGTGGAGCAATGGGGCTGTAGGCAGTGAATAAATGACCGGGAGCCGTGTCAATAGCTTGGAATACTGTTTGAGCGCTGTTTGAGCGCTGGTCTCTGTGACGTCAGGACAGAGCGCTGTTTTGGTCACAACCCCCTCTCGAAATACTTCTAAATCTGAGAAAAATAGAAATTTTGTGGAGAACCTGGTGACTCTATTTATGTCCAGAACTGATTTTGATTTTTTTTTAGGTAGTCAGAGATCTTTTCTTTGCCCATTTGTAGAATATTTAAACTTTTGATCATACCTGCTTGTATTGTGCGGCCTGGTGACCACTGGACATGCAGGTGCCACCGTGTGATGATGAATGATGTCATTAGACACCTTGCTTAGGCATATATGATGCTATATAGAGTTTGAGTGTCTAAAAAGGACCAAATAAAACCAACGAGTTCTGATTTTTAACAGGCTTATTATTAAAGACTTATTGATAGAAAAAATATAAATAAAGAACATTATTGAAAAATTACAATGTTCAGAAATAGTTTTGTTTTTAATGTTACTGTTGCAAAAGGCACAATTGTCTTTCCTCCATAATAATATTTCCTGTTTTTTTCCAGTATCCCACTATCGCCTGTTTCCTAAGTCACTGGGTCAGGTCATCTCTAAGTTCTCTGTGCGGGAGCTGCACATCTCCTTCACTCAGGGATACTGGAGGACCATGCAGTGGGGTCAGCCCTTCCTGCCCGCACCTCCTGGGGCTGAGCTCTGGGTCTGGTTTCAGGACACTGTCACAGAGTAAGTACTGCCCTCTGCTGGTCGCAGTTTGCACTCATCAGACACAAAACAACACCACTGTGCATTGCAACTCATTTTAGAGAATTAATGCTTAAGGTATCACCTCCCCTGTTTCACAGACCGCCTCCTCCAGGGTCCCTTTGTTGAAGGTGTGCGTTAGGTTAGAACCACACCGTGGAAAATGAAGTGTGGTTGTACTATTGCATGTGTGAATAAATAATGTTTATTCAGTCAATAATGCTAATACATTCTCATCCCCAGCTCTGTGCACCGCCAAGTCTTCCAATTATAAATGTTGCTTAAAAGAGTAATAATTATGCATTTCCATTGTTGTGTTTACAGTGTGGACAGCACGTGGAGAGAGCTGACCAATGTTTTATCTGGGATCTTCTGTGCATCTCTGAACTTCATCGACTCCACAAACACGGTCCAACCCAGTGCTTCCTTCAAACCTCTGGGAATTGGAAATGGTAAAGTTGTTGTTTTGTAGAACCAAAACTTGAGACTCACCATCCAGTGTTCTGTTTTTCTCCAACAGTGACAGACCACAGTTTCCTTCGCTACGCCATCCTCCCACGAGAAATAGTTTGCACTGAAAATCTCACCCCCTGGAAGAAACTGCTGCCATGTGGTTCCAAGGTACGTCTGTGAAGAAATAACAATTTAACCATAAAATAAAGGTATAAGGCATGACTTATTCTTGTCTTGTTTATTTAAATTTATTGTCTTAAATAATAGACTTTGATGTGTGCAATCTGAGTGCTTTTATTTCCTTTCTCTGCTGTAATGTGCGCAACGATGACACTGAAATTTCTCCACTGTGAGACTAATAAAGGTTTATCTTCTCTTATCATCCCTTTTTCTGTCATGTATGTTCTACATTCTTAAACCTGAAATGCCAACATTCTTAGGTATTATTTGATAGGCCAAATAACATATTTGTTCTCTGGTTGCACAATGTAAAAATAAAGTGTATATGCATTAGTGGTGTCAAGGACTACAATACATTGCAATATCTTCCGTCATAAGTTTTTCTGACATGGCGTGTTCGTTCTTTCAAGCCAGTAGACAAAGAACTCTAGCAAATAACAAAGATTATGCTTGTATATCTTAGCAATATCAATAATGTACTGACTCGCAATAATAATAAATATTTGTTCTCCATTTTGTGCCGCTGTAATCCTGATGTCCCTGCTGTTCGTTACCCACTCAATGCTATCATTCTCGCATCTCATGAAGCCTTTTAACTGGAAGAAATAATGATACATATAATCTCCATTGTGGCAAATCTTTCTGCAGGCTGGTCTGGCGGTCCTGATGAAGTCGGAGAAGCTTTTCCACAGCAGTTTCCACTCACAGGCAGTGCACATCCGGCCCGTGTGCGGAGACTCAGAGTGTAAAGCCGTGTCCTGGGAGCTCAGACAGACGCTGGATGTGGTGTTCGACCTACACACCTCTGGACAGGGCAAGAGAGGTCAGTCAGGCCATTTCCAGTAATACATGGCTTAATAGTTGTATTAGGGGAAGACATTACTTCCTACCTGCTATTTTACTGTGTGTTATCTACATTACAGCAGGACTCTAAAACTATTAGATCGATAAATAATAGATCCTAACAGACTCATGCAAAAGTAAAATTTTGTGAATATTGTGAATATATAATATGCTGTGTATGACATACTCATATTATTATTTTTTGATCCTTTGGGCTGAGAGCTGATTGCTGAGTGGGGGTGGTTTTTCACTTTTCTGTCTGAAAAAGCTGTGCCTATAAGATGAGATAAAACTTCTTACAATGGAAAAATGCACATATGTGAAAACCAGTGATTAAACTAATCTGTTTTGAGAGCCAAGAACTAGTTGGATGGATTTAATTTTTTTACGGTTTGAAAATGAGGTTATATATTATTATATTGCTGATACTTCTCACATTGGTCTTAAATCTCCCACATAGGATTATCAATTATTTTGGCCAAAACTGCTGCCAGAAAAATACATAAAGCTCTATTCGAACACTGCACAAAAGAGAATGCACTGCTTGTCAGTTTTGTAAAGATTAGTCTTGTAAAGTGTTTGTAAGATAAAAAATGTTTAGTCTTTGGTAAATAAGCAAAACAGCACATATCAGTTAGACATGTACAGACAGCTTATCAACCACTGTTATTCTAAACAACTGTTATCTGTATCTGCCTTTAAAAACATATCTATACCTACTGTTTGCAGTATGTATAAATATTTATACAATTCTCTAGGTTTCGAAGGTTAGTCTGCAGAAAAATAATGTCAATGTTCCCAATGTTGAATACAATATGAACTTTTTTAATGTGTTTGTTATCTTGAAACGTGAAAATGTTCCCAGTCCAGTTTAGAAATCCTGTCTGATTTCATGCAGTCTTATAAGTGGGGACAAAAAGACCCTTTAATGCTATTGAGCTCTACGCTTTGGATCTTGGTGAAATTAAAGTTGTCAAACTCAGGCAGCTATATTTTTGTAACATCAGGAAAAAGCTGTGTCTATACTAAAGTGTCAGTTATTGTAAGATCACAGAAATGAAATAAAAGTATGAATGATAGTCTTCTTTATCTTCTTTATCTTGGACGTCTTTTCTATTTGTACAATTGGCCTTCACCTAAAGTGCATTACTTTACATTGTATTACTATTGTTTGCTACTTATAGAATTATGTATGTATTTGTTTTGTTTGAATGGAAGCGTGTACCTCTGCTGTTTCTGGACTCTATAAAGTATCTATTTAGATTGAAAAGGCCACTTGTGCAGTATTAGCAGTAAGACGGGGATTGCTCGCTCTTTAGGTTGTAAAAGTAAAATCTGGTCTTGTTACAGAGTGGTCCTTGTTTAAGATGTTTGCTCGGACGCTGACAGACTCCTGCCCTCTGGCCTCTTCCAGCAAAATATACGTCGATGTCACTGATAATCCTGAGGTATGTCTATATTTCCATCTCTGTGTGATAACATTCTTTTATTTTTTTCTTTACATGATTTGTAACTTTTCTTTCAAATGTATTTCAGGGAGAGCACTTTGACTTGACTCCGAGCACTCCTCTGCTGAGCCAGGCTGTGGTGCTCGGAGACAGACGCACTTTCTCAGTCTATGACTTGACCCAAGCCTCCACTTTTGGTTCCATGAGGACGTTTAACCTGCAGATTAAATGGAAAAGTTCAGGGGGTAAGACTTCCTTTGTTCGTCCCTCAGTGGGGAGATCTCAGTGTTGTATCACAAGCTAAAGAAGAGTAGGAATATGGAGCACAACAAATGGTAAATGTATATTTTGAACTATACTGGAGTATTATACTATCTAAGTTTAGTTTGTTCAGAACAATTGAGGTGAAATATTCTGTAAAATCAACCAAATCTCGAAATGCTTCAGTGTAAGCTTTTAGGTTTTTTTACTCTTGTGAAAAAGGCCAGTTTATCTGTATAGCACAGACGGTATATAAATAAAGATTACTTACTTGCTTGTTCATACAAAAGGCAACTCGGCGCTTCACAAAAAATATCAATGCACCTCAGTCTGTGAGTTATTCTGTGAGTTATTCTGTCATATAGACCTGAGCACAGGACTAATTTGATCGTACTGACTAAAAATGATCAAAACTGTGATTTGTGTGTGTAATACTTTGTTTGAACTCCTGTATGTACATCTCCCAGTGTTTGTTGCCAGGCCATGGCTAATGCCGTGGCTAATGCAGTGGTTGTCTGTGTGGTTCAGGGGACATGTTGCGGCCTCTGCTTCACGCAGAGCGGTACGTGGCAGGATACGGGCTGCAGACGGGCGAGATCCATACGCTCATGTACAACCAGCACCCGTACCGCTCCTTTCCCCTGCTGCTGCTGGAGTCTGTGCCGTGGTACCTACGCCTCTACATCCACACACTGACCGTGACCAGCAAGGGCAAGGACAACAAGCCCAGTGAGTCCAACCACACAGCACTCCTGCTTCAGAACTGTCTTAGACATAGGGATTCATGTCAAAGTAGTCCAACTATTCCATCCATCTATTTTACTTAAACCTTTACGAGGAGCAGTCCGAGCAGAGCCACCCAGATGTCACTGTCTCCAGGCTTTCACAGATGTCCTGAAATTATGCATGGAAAGTTTTGATTTTAATGGGAAATTTCTTGCAAGGCCCAGGTATCTTGTTGAAATCAATCATCTTTTTTTTTTATGTGTGGAGTGCTTTTCCCACACAAGCTAACAAAATGAGCTTAAATCACACAGGGCATTAAAAACATAGAAAATGTAATCACACAGGTAGTTAAAAAACAAGAGATCAACCAGCACTACTAGTTTTCTTTTTTATGCAGTTTTGAAAAAAAGGTCAGCCAATTCAGCTGTAGCATTTGAGATTCCTCCTGTTCATAGAGCATTTTAGAAAGTACTGTTTGAATTATGTTATTTAAATTGTTAACCACATTGGCAACAAACCCCTGGAAAGCCCTGAACACATTTCTCGACATTGTTCATTTTAGGTGTGTAAAGTATTAATTTATATAATTCTTAAATGTTCTGAAAATAAGCCCCTTTTATCTGCTAAACAAACAGAAACAGAATAATTCACAGTTATGAGGTGCGTGTCTCTGCTTTTTTCAGGTTACATCCACTACCAGCCGTCAAAAGACCGAGTCCGCCCTCACCTGCTGGAGATGCTGCTCCAGCTGCCCCCAAACTCGGTCACTGAGGTCACGGTACAGTTCGAGAGAGCACTGCTCAAATGGACGGAGTACACGCCCGACCCAAACCACGGGTTCTACGTTGGGTATGAAATTTAAATCAAATCCAGTCAACCCCAACACAGTTCAAAGATTCATCGTGTATGTGGCATGTGCTGGTCAGTAGATGGAGCAGATTGGAGAACGTTGTGAGTCTGATATTTTTACATTTAGGTAAAATATTGGTTAATTATCTTATCAATGTTATTCAGAATGACATGAAGGCACG